GCTGTATTTCCTTCTTAGTACTATTTCCTGCCACTTTTTTTTTTTTTTTAAAACAAGTTTTATTAATTTTTAAAACACACAAATTATCATTATTCATTACATGTTTAAACCTTTTTCCCTTGTAAATTTAACAAGTCAGATAAATTATGATTCTGTTTTAAACCATTTCCATATAATATACCAAAACCTCTTATTCAATTTCTCTTTACTTCTCTTTACTCTTATTCAATATCATTATTATTATTTCATCTGTTTCTTTCTGACTTAGTTACCATTATTCTCATTCTATATTTCTACAAGTTTTTACCAATTCTCCCCCCAAAAAAAACATATACACACAACACACAAAACATAAAAAAAATATCTTTTTGGAAAGTAACTTGGACCCAGGTGTCTCTCTCTTCATGGACTTCAATTATATTCATGCTCATCTTACATATCATTACTTATTTTATTTACCATTCTAAGCCTTCTATATTAACTTCTCCACATATTTCACACTTCTTAATTCTACCTTAATTAATCATCTTAGTTTAAATCATTATATTTGTATCTTTTGTCCATTTTTTATCATCCCTTTGTCTCATCCCTTATGAAAAAAAAGAAAATCAGTTTCTCCTGAAATCATTAATCAGAGTATGATGCCTTTCTATCTCCCCCCTAAGTTAATCAAATTAATCTTTAAAATAATATCTAATACCCAATCAGATTTTGCTTGGTACATTCTATCTAACTAATACATCCAACACAATTAAGTGCATAATTAGAGAATAAATCCAAATATTAAAAAGAAATACTATAATAAAAATTTTATAATAACATCAATACCATAATTTTATTAAACTCTTTAATTAAAACAATATTCTAAACCCCTCCTATTATTAAGTTTTAAAACCAATCATTTTTAAACATTTTAACATTTTAATCTCTTATCAACTCTTAAACCATTGCAATACTACCATCTCATCTTATGTACCTTGCAAAATCTTTTTTTTTTTAAAAAAAAAATTATACTTTATCCATTATCCATAAAAAATTCCTTTTTTCCATTTAATTTCAAAACGTTGTAGCTTTTCTCCACCTTTTCCCTTTCTTTCTTTTCCCAACAAACCTTTCTACCCCCCCTTCTTCTAGCCTCTGCCTTACCGGCTTCCCTTCTCTGTCGTATTTCTTTTCCCCTTTGTTTACAATCATCATATTGGTTTTGCACTTTATTTTTCCCTTTCTTAAATGTTTTTTTAGATCTTAAGTCCTTAAATCCTTTAGTTTTCTTCTTTTCTCTTCTTTTCTTTTCTTTCTCTCTTCTTTTTTTCTGGATCAAATTCTGAGATTCATTAAAGATGGCTCCTTCCTTTCTTTCTTGTTCCTCTGCTGTCTTCATCTGTTGTAATTTTTGTTGATAATTAGTAAGCGCCATTTCTAAGAAAAGGAAAGCTTCTTCCACACCATTTCTTAGTTCCTCAACAGAAAGAGCCATTATAAATCTTTTCTTTTCTTTTCTCCTTCTTTCTTTTTACAACAACCAGAATATTCAAAAGAAAATAAAAAAGATAAAACAGTCCCAAAGTTATCAATCAGTCCAAACCAAGGCAGAGTTCTCACTTTCTCCTTCTGGGGTGATATCAATCAAAGAGAAAGAAAGTCCAAATCTGTTTAAAGTCTTGTTACAATATATTCTAGTCTTCAAATCCTTAAGGTATCTGCTCCAACAAATCTTAGCATACAAATATTTTCTTTTTAATCCTCTCTCTTCCCACTCATCGCTTAAAACCAATTTCCACCTAAAAAAATAGGTTTCTTAATATCCAGTTATTTATTCCGTAGGAAAAGAGGGAAAGCTATCCTTTCAGCACCTTCAAGCAGCCGCTTTTTTCCTCTTCTGGCAGGTATTATTCAGAAAGTCATACTTTTCAGGAATTTTATTAAATATGTCTTAGAGTCCTAGGAGCCAAGAAAAACTTTCTCCTCTCAATCACTTTCTCCACTTCCTCCTGCGCATTCTTACCCGGCTGCCAGCTTCTTTGTGGCGGCCATTACGGACCGCCGCTGCACCGTCCTGGGAAAAGGGTGTTCTGCCGGCCAGGGAGGGGGTCTGCAGCACCCCCAAACCCTTCTCCGGATCCCCCCTACCTTCAGCTGCCCCTGCAGGGCAGCCTAGCTCCGTACCCGGCTGGGTCGGAGCCCCAAAAACGGCTAGCGCGGCAGGGATCGTGCAGCTTCGCAAATCCCTGCCGCTCGCGAAGCCGACAAACCGGAAATTCCCTTCCTGCCACTTTTATTAAACTACTGTAATGCAGTGGAAACACTCGGCAGCTTGATTCTCTGGTTAATGACTAGAAGAGTTTAGTTGATGGCTACAATTCAGTACAGAATGAAAAGCATAGAGATGCAAATCCTGGGAGAGAAGCAAATTAAAGATTTGAATACTTTTTTGACAGTGCCAAATGGCTACCTAAGACATCTGAGGGAATCTCTCCTCTTTACTGTACTAAAGGTTTCAACTCATAATTTGGTACCAGTATAATAAAAAGCAGTGTTTCTCAATCTTGGAAACTTTGAGATGAACTTCAACCCTCAAAGTTCCTCAGCCAGCATGCTAGCTAGGAACCTCCAGGAGGTGAAATCTGCCCATCTTAAAATCAGCAAGGTTGAGAGACATTGATCTAGAGCAGTATATCCTGGTATTTTGAAAAGAACATTTTGCATGTTTGTTTTCTGTGATTGTATTTACTGTTTCAGTGCCTGACCTATGGAACAGTGATGGTATTCAGCAGGTTCTGACCAATTCTGGAGAACAGGCAGCGGGAATTTTGAGTAGTTCAGAGAACCAGCAAATACCACCTCTGACTGGCCCGCCCCATCTATTCTCTGCCTCCCGAGTCCCAGCTGATTGGCTGGGTCTTCTTTTGTTGCCCTGCACAGGAGAATGGAGCTGGAAAGCAGGTTAGTGGGGTGGGGAGAGAATGGGATTTTGCAGTAACCTTCCCCTAGGAATGGGGAGGGAATGGAGATATTGCAGTATCCTTCCCCTGCCACGCCCAGCAAGCCACAGCTCCAGAACCAGTAATAAATTTTTTTGAAACCCGCCACTGGTTGCTTCTTATAATTCATATGGTGGTTACTTTGTTATCTTGTTATTGTTTTTAGTGTTTATTTTACAATTATACATTGCATCTTCTATTCATTTTTAATTTCCTGTTAACATATTTCTTCAAATTGCGAATCGCCCAGGGTTGCTCTTGTGAATTGGGCAACCATATAACTCTAATAAACAAACTCTGCACACCATTTTGAGGTATTTTTTTTAAATGGAAAAGCCTTATAAATTTAAATTATTATCGTTGTAGTGTATTCTAATAGAGACTTCTAGGGCAATGTTCCTATTGGTTAGCAGATGCAACGATACGATTGGTTAATAACATTAGTATCTGATTGGCTGCCTAAAGCGGCGGGAAGTTTAAATAAATGCCATTGGTTGCGAGCCACTGAGCAGCCGCTATAAAAAGGGCTGCCGCGGCTCAACTGCAGTTGAAGTTACTAGTTATTAATAAAGAGCTGAATTCAACTCCGGTCTTCGAGTCTCTTTACTGGCGACAGAACAATCATCACCATCTCGTATAAGGCAGGAGGTGATTGCATATGTTATTTCACAAGATTCTAGAGAGAATAAGCCTAAGTGCAACATTGAATGAAGCAATGTCAGTAATGCCTCAAAAAGTACAAAGCCTGTTTGTTCATTTAAGGTTTAAAAACAACTGTTTAAACTGTTTAACCAACCAAACAACCAAAATTTTCCTGAAGGAATTAAGATCTTTAGTTTTTTAGTAAATACCTCTCACGCTCACCAATCCATTGTCAAACTGAAATATCTGCAATCAGGTAAGGGAAGAAATGTTTCTGTTACTCTATACTGTTATGCAGGGTATAACATGGGAAGATTTACAGTGCAGCAAATTCAGAAAAAGCCTTTTTTTTTTTTTTGGTATTCTATGTTCATTGTGGCATTTTCTAGGCAAGGTAGCAACATTTTCATTGATGGGAAATGGTAGCTATAAAGGAAAGATGCATCCAAACATTATATACAAACCTGAAACCCAGTCCTGCTTCTTCCCCTTTCACCATTGACAATGTTTTTGTTATTGTTACTTGTATTGTGCAGTTTTCAGTCAGCATAAACTTCAGCCAAATAGAGAGAAGTAGAGGACAAAAAGAACCCCAACCTCTCTAATTCTCTATAAGACTCAGCTTCTTTTCATCACCTTATTATTCTGTGCTCGTTTTTATTTCAGCCCAAAGCATGTTTTCTCCTGGATTATATACATATTTATCATTCTTCTTGAAACCTAAGAAGAGCCTATGTACTTTATCCCAGATTACCTACAAAGCCAATCAGCTGCAAAGATACCCTGATTGACTTATACTATTTTCTTAACTTGTTAATACAATTTAACACAGTATTGGATGACTGCATCATTTAGCCAGCAACATATCCCTATGCCAACAATTTCCTCCCTACCCACACTGCATAAAGTAGCTTCTTCATTTTCTGATTGATCTGAAATGTTTATTTGCAACCATAGGTTTTAGCAAAATCCATATAAATTGCAGCAATCTATATTAGTGGAATGCATCCCCTCTAACATTAACAAAATTATTTGTCAGCATGTGCTTTCTCCTTTTCTCCTAAAGATTTTCCCCATTTTCCTACCATTTGTACAAATTGATATACATATACTTCTATTTTGGATTGGTTTTCCATACATTTCTTGCTTTGGCATATGCCTCAAGGCAAGGCAGGCCATTGCTATGTGAGAACTCTCTAAGACAATGTTTGTCAACCTCAGCAATTTTAAAATACATAGATTTCAACTCCCAGAATTTCCCAGTCAGCATACTGACTAAGGGAGTTGAAGTCCACACAACTTAAATTTGTCAAGGTTGAAAAACAGTGCTGTGGGAATTCAAAGTAAGGAGCTTAGGTCAACAAAATCTAGAACTGAATGGAGGATTTTATCCATACAAGGCACCATCGTATCTCCTGGATCGTTCTTCAAGAGCTGGAGCTCTTCAATCCTTTAGCAAAAAGGACTGCTTTTTGTGAAAACTTCTACCATGAATTTCGTTTCATGAATCTAGGTGTTCGGTATCCCATGAACTTCGCAGCAGAATAAAAAAAAAATCTACATTTTGTTTTTAAAAAAGGCAATTAACTAAAAATTGAGGATAAACACTAGTAGTTATAGTTCTAAGGGGTCCTTGGTGCTCTCTGAGCTTGCTTGTTTTCTTGCAGACATTTCATTACCCTAACTAGGTAACATCATCAGTGCTATAAGAAGTGCTGTTTGCTGTCTGTTTATATTCTGAGAACTTGCTTGTCTGTGTGGGTGAGAGTGGTCTTAGGTTGGGCTGTTTACTGGTGGCTCTTTGGCAGTTTCTTGATTGGGGTATGATTGTTGATCTGAAATTAATGTTGGAGTTAATCAATGCTGATCTGGGTGCTGATTATTGATGGAACAGGCAGAACACATACATGAACACCAACTGGAAGTCAGAAGGCATGATGAAAATTCTTTAATTTCACAACATATAGACAGATTTAACCATAGTTTCAATTGGGAAAATGTTATAATCCTAGACCAGGCCAAGTCCAAAAATGCCAGAGAATTTCTAGAAGCCTGGCACTCTGACAAATCAGCCATCAATAGACACATAGCTATTAGCAACACATATAGACTAAGCAAAAGACACAATCAACCAGCCCAAAAGAGAACAAAAAGACTTCAGCACCTCTCCACCAATAATCAACACCAAGGACCCCTCATTTTTACCCAGAGCTACAAATATTATCCCTCATTAATTATAGTTCTTTTTAAAAGGAGCTTACATTGGGGAGTTTTGCATTTAAAAAGCCTGCACCATGAAGACTTGCATGTGAAAAAAAAAAAGAGAAAGCAGATTGATTTGCACTTATAAAAAGAATTCTTGGACAGTTGAACAGTTACATAAATTAAACGAGATACAGATAAAGTTACCATATGTTACAAGATGTTATGAATGTAAAGGGTTGTGGAATTTTCTACATTTTTAAGGCATAAAAGATAATGCCTAAGAATGCAGACAATGCAGAGGATAAGGAGGGTTTCTTGCACACAGTTTTACTTGTACTTTGGGTACTGTTCCTCCCAACAGATCTCATCTGGATCCAAACTACAGCTCAACACTCTTTTGGCCTCTTAACAGTCATAGAAAAAGTGGGAGAATGAAGGAGCATATCAGATCTCTGCTTCAGGTAAGTCACTCTTCTAGGATTAGCCTCCACTGTGAAGAAGTATTGTTAGGGATAACATTGGTTACCTAACTTAGTTTGGGTAAAATAATATATATAAACTATGTTAGTGAGTTTAATTGTATGTATCACTTTAAACTGTAAACCAAGTATTTTGGGTGCGGTTGTAAAATCACCATAAGAGGGAGCAAGAGAGCTCACTGTTTGCTGGCTTTTACTGGATTGCTGACAATGATGGATTGATGGTGATAACTGCGTGTTTGCTGAGAGAAGAAAAGAGGTTTGATTTTCTTCATATCTCTGACTGCAAAAGAGATATATCACTGGACTGATTGATTGTAAGTTTAATGAACTCTTTTTCTACACTGGACTTTGCAAACTGAATAACCCCCGGACTGACTGAACTTAGTGTATGACATATGGACCGTTTGACTCTATAACTTTTTTTTTGACCGTATAACTCTTGCTGGAATAAAAACTATTTAACTTGCACAGTGTATCTGTCTTACTGAGTGTAAGCTACTACAACGTTTTGTCTCACATATCTGCCTGCCTGCTAGACTGCCGTTGCACGTTCTGCTAGGGTGTATATCCCTAACAAGTATTTTTATTGACAACAGTACAGAACAAGTGGGAGTTCTATACAGTCACCAAAAACAATCTTTGATACCTCTTTGGTGTACAATGTTTTTTTCTGAAAAGCATTAATATTTATAAATTTGATGGCTAAATGTGGTAAATAAACGAACTTTAAACAAAATAACTTTTGATTGGGAGCTTCCTAGCATTTGCTATAAGTTAGGCAGTTATATAAATGTTTAAAATATATAAATAAAAATAAGACATAGAAGAAGAACCTAATTCTTGAAAGAATTGGTTGAAAAGCAGAATTCTGTTTCAAATGTGATTAGAGACCTTTAGATATCTTTTTTGACTACTTAAGTTCAGTGGAAGAATTTGTGCCAACATTCATTCCCTCACCTTACAGAATTGTAGTCTGAGGAATAAGAGGTTATCTTTTACCCTCATGTCACCTCACAGAAATGAATTTTGCTATAATAACAAATAAACACAAAATAAACTGCATTAAAAAGAAATTACCAATATGTATAACTGCAATGTAACACTGCATACTGAAAAAAGAAAGAAAACAAAACAAAAATGAAACAAAACCCTAATTCTTATCAAAAGGCAAAAAGTTCTGAATGGCACAGTGATTAGAATGCTGTATTGCAGGCTAACTCTGCCCACAGTCTGGAGTTTGATCCTGACAGGGCTCAAAGTTGACACAACTTTCCATCCTTCCAAAGTTGGTAAAATGAGGAGCCAGATTGTTGAGGGCAATATATTGAGTTTGTAAACTGCTCAGAGAGTGTTGTAAAGCACTTTGAACTGCTAGTGCTATTTCTAAAGGTCTCCCAGAGTCACTATTTTATGAGACAAATATGAGAAATAAATAAGTAAAAGAAAATTAATGCAGAAATACAAATTCATTTTCTTAAATTGTGGCAGTGAAATATGTGATCTTCCTGAGATCATCTTTTTCTGTGTAGAGGTGACAACCATATCTTTTCAAAATGGTTCCCATTTCCCTCAGAATACATCCTCTTCATAGTTTGTTTCTTCTGCTTCATTCTTTTTAAACAAATTGATTGTCAAAGTCAGTGCAGAATTATATCCCACTACAGAATGGGGAAAGGACTGAATACTAGATCAAACCAAGATGCAGTAGACAGCATTCTCTGAAGCTTATGAGATGTTTTCATAATAAAGCTTGTTGTGAACCCCTTCTCTGCATAAGGGCTTCATGTTACAATAACAGCACTTTGTTGGCTAGCATTAGGTGCCCCTCCTTTAAATTTCCCAGTATGATCATAGAGTGATGACATTCTGGCTCCTCTTAGATACAATGGATAGGTCACAGTTTATTGTCATCAGTGCTGGTGGACACTGTTGGAACCTATGGGACTCAACTGCCAGATATTAAAGGCACCTTAAGAGTCTTCATTCTTTTCTCACAATGTCCTAGCAGTGGTTAGAGCATTCTGTTGCAGAAATGCTGGATTTTTATAGAAAGACAGACAATTAATGGATTAAAGCAGATGTTGTCCATATACTAGGCATAGAAAGTTACTGTCCCAGTGCTACCGTATCTTTTAATTTATGGCATATTTTCTGCATAACTCTGTATGTCACTTTTGAGACTGTTGAAACTATGCATTGAGTTATCTTAATGTTTGTTCATCAGTAGAATCTACCCACACACTGGACTGTTTGAATAATAAAGTTTGAAATAACATCTATTTATAAATTGAAAAAGGAACAAATATTCTGTTATAAACTGTTTGACCAAAAGGGAGCACACATTCAGATATGCATATTTCAATATTCATAATCAAATATGTAATGTGTTTGCAAAAAAGGAAAGAAGTGGATAAGGTTGGAATTTGTATTTAAAATAACCTCCCAAACTATGTACAGCATAAATTATCTATCACCAGTTAATCCAGCAATATCAGCTTCAATACCATCTGTTTTATATTGGCTGCTCTGACTTAAGTGTAGGTCTTTGTGTCAATGTGAATTGTTACTGAAAGATATAACAGTAACATTTAATGGATTTTCAAAAGTAACCCCATCCTTTTTCACATGTGTTTCACACACTCACACATTTTTAATATGTAGCAAAATGTATTTCTAGCTCTGAAAGACCCATGTGTGGTCACATGTATGCATACATCATTCAGTTGCAAAGAATAATTTGATGAGGCTGAGACTCAATGAAGGTTTGAAAGCAGATGATATGACAAATCCTCAAAGGACTCCATTTCACACACCAGATTGCTTGCCCAGATTCAAAGACATCCATTACTGGCTGCTCAAATGTGATGTGTGTCTTTCTGAGACACTATTAAACAGCTGTCACACTCTAACCCAGAGCTTGCTAAAGTTAATTGTGTATGTAAATCATGCACGATGAAGATCAGGTACCTGCAGCAAGTAACTGATCTAACTTGTTTCTTTCCCCCCCCCAGTACATCTTGAACCTTCTACCACTGTGCCAGTTTCTTCCAATTCATTGAGACCTGTAGTTTAAGGTAATCTGTGTATGTCAGAAAAGTCATGCTGGCATCTGCACTGCACAGTGGGAACCTGCAATGTAGAAAGATATGGATACCATGTGAAAAGTGGTAGAAACTACACACATAAAAAAGAAATGGAGCTTTGATTACAATTGCAGCTGCCATCTTGACTTTTTTTGACTTTTATCTCCTGAAGATACCCCTGGAGGATACAAGAAAAAAAGAAGGAAACAAAGTAGCTAATGACATTTATCTAATGTTGCAGCCAAAAACAGATAAGTGCACATGGACTTCCCTGTCCAAGCTATTCAAACGGGTGTAAAACAAATCATAATAAGCATTCTGACCTCATTAGGGAGCCAGTGTCTATGCTGTGGCTTGCTTATTATTTATTTAGACTGTTACTATGCAATCCTTCAATACAAACTTATTTTCAAAAGCATTAGTTGTAACCTTAGCTTATGCAATCAAGCTTTCATGAGATATTAAGTACACAGGACGAACATGAGAAAGTCACATAAAATGTGAAATAAAACAATGCTAAGTGGAATTATGAATTACTTGACTTAATAATAACAATAGAAGTTAGCAAATGACATTATAGATGGGGGGTGGGTGGGTGGAATAATCAAGTTAATTCCTGTGGGAAGGGCATGCCATAACCAAGAAGAACATACCTCAGTTTGCTAACCTCAGACCTAATATGGATCCTCAAAAGAAGAACAGAGGCTTGGAATAAAAGCAGAGAAATTTTTACAGAAAATAACTGAACAGCGAAGCATTGAAAAAGTTGAAGACTGAAGAACTGTACATCCTACATCCCAATGGGAAAAAATGTGTGCATTTCATCTTTTATCACAAACTTATATAATGTGGCAATATACAAACTGAAATTCTGTTGTCCTTCAATATGGCAGCTATTCATGATATGCAATGGAGTCTTCCAGTTTGTATGTGTGTACAGGGAAAACATGTACACAAAATGCGCAAAACAAACTTATGATTCAGAAGACAGAAGAACCGAAGCTCCAATTCTCTATCAGCAAAAATATCTTTTTGCACTCTATAATAATCAGTTTCCAAAAATCAACAGTTCTTTTTCTTGCCACACTGAGGCAGGAAACACACCAAGAAAGTCTCTGAAACTACAGCTCCAAACCTTGAAAATCCCAAACCTGCTTTATATAGACTTGACCTTCTAATCTCACCATCTCACTTACAGTACTGTGGTCTTCTCACTAGCAAAAATTAAGTTAAGTGAAGTCTTGACTAACAAACATTAGTCCATCCCATAAGTTAGCCTCATGAGATCAAGCTCCAGGAAATCTCAGACTTGAGTGTTCCCATATTGTTCATCTCCTGCTCCTTTCTGCAGCTATTAAATATTTTAGAACAATCACAAATGAGCATGCTGTCAAAAAAAACTAGACAATACTCAATGGAAAGAAACCAATTTGATAACACTCTGAATGAAGTTGACTTGTTCCTCTTGACTTGTTCCACATATAGTAATCTCAAAGCTACCACTTTGTTAGGTTTGAGCAACATAACCAATGATGCTAGCAAATATTTGAGAGGAATTATGAAGCTTCTCTCTGTGAAGTCCTGAGGTAGACCTATTCCTCAAGAGTTTTCCCAGGATGATGCCCAGTGTCCAATGCAAATCTCCAACTGCCAGTTTCCCTACCCAATATCTTGATAGAGACAGCATTGTAAAGCATTGTCACCCTTTTCTGTGCAGAGAATCAAATCCTTTTCTCTTCAAAGCCTGCTAAGGAGGATTTCAGATGAATCTTTAAAAGGGCTACGCTCCACATTTATTCAAACCATCCTAGAAGCTCTTCCACTTGAACTCCAACCAATCTGCTTTTTTGCTCTCAGCATTCTCCTTGTTAAGTCAAGGAAATAAGATAGCTGAGA